TTCTATCATAAAATAATGTAAAAAAGTCAGAGTTTATCCTTATCTGTCAGCCATCTACTCTTCCCGACGTTGGTACCACTTCTTTGGATCCAATCCTTGCCATTTCGACTTGTGCATTATTTGTATTATCGTAGTTTCTTTTTTTGATGACTGCAGGACATCAATCTATAAATCCCATGAGTAAATCTCACAAATAACATAATTTTCATTATCGTTTTAAATTTCTGGAAATAATCATAATGAAACGGAAACACTAATATATAATAATATTGTAATACATTACACATCGTAAATATACACCTATGTGTGAAAAAAAAAAGAAATACTAGTTTACTTCTATATTGACTCGTTTATTTCAAAAGTATTAATTAAAAATTCTGCCACTGTTTACATATTTAAGATTCATACGTTAATTTAGGTATCATTGTGTTTTTTTTTAATGTTAAGTGATAAATGATCCTGGTGACAAACGACCTCATTTGGGCTCCCCCTATTTCGGTTCAAGAGAGCGAAAAAGCGAGGGACCGAGCACGGGCACGGTGGAGAAATAATTTATTACACGTAAAATGAGGTTGAAACTGGATCTGAGCAAGCCCTTATGTATTTGGGGAGTAAGATTAGGGGTGGTACTTAGGGAGCATGTGCAAGGAGGAGGAAGGCACTGGTTGGCTGATTGTTGTTATAGAAACCCCCATCTCGTCGTATCCATGCCTACCTTCCAGGGGCGTCCTGTGTCAATAAGGCCACCTCCGACCTGTCTTTTACAAACACACAAAGCCCGTACTTACTATAGCAAGATATGAAACACGAAGTCAATTTCAGCTCTTCCACGTGTCAAACAATATCTAGTGTATTGATTTGAACGAGATGAATCGCTTTAAAATCTTTTCTTTCCAACATGAAAACATTACTTTAAAATTTGAACGGGGCAGTTATATTTCTATAAAATAATATGTATTAAATCAGAGAATTTATTCTGCCAATCTTGCTCCGTGATGCTAAAAATGTAATAAAAAATATGATTAACAAGAAATGACAGTGTTGGTGGCCCGGGTCGATAGAGAATGTCCTCTTTATCACGGTTGATGAGATCAAAAGGATTAAAAATAGACCAAACGAGGTCGACACACGGACACTTTCTTTTAGCCAAATTCCTCGTCGATGTGTGTCCCACTTAATTGAGGGGGTTGAGAATTGTGGCAGCTAGTATTGCTCTATTATTTGTTTTGGGAAAAAAAACAGGGCGGTTTTATTGTATTCAAGACTGACTATCTCGTTTAATGTTTCCTTTTGTGTATATTGAGATTGAATGTATTTATTAGCGTTTAAGAAGGCCGAAGGCGGAATATTAAGTCCTTCAATTATATTAGTTGTATGTGTAAAGGGTGATGGGGGAATATGGAGTTATCAGCGTACTTGAGTGAATGATAGTATGGGGGCTGAAATGATCTAGATGTTGAAGAGATCGAAGTCTGACACCAGACTATCAAAACCTATAGTCTTTAGGCGATTCTCACGGTTTGCCACGAATGGTCATAACCCAAATTTTGTATGTATGTATACATGCATGTTCAGAATTGCGATTGTATTTAATTAATTTATTAGTAGTTAATAATCTGATCAGATCTGTGCGATGATGTACTTGTAGTGCGGCCGTTTCTGATCCTTATGGTTCTCCCATCGTTTGCTCTTTGCCCATCTTCAGTGGTAAGTTTGCTAAACATGTTGGGACGATCTGTGTAGCCCTGACAAACCTCTGGTAGTATGTACCTAAGATAATGGTTGTCTCCGAAGGAGAATAATAAATAATAAAATAAAAAATATTATATACCTAAGACGATATCAATTTGTGTTTTACTTAAACGTTTATTTAAAACTTTTTTCTGGGAAGGTTAGACTAGGTTTTTTTATCGATTATTTCGGAGTACGTTATATCTATATTTCTACAAATAAACAATATTCTTGGGTTATAATAATAATCATTGTTTTCGTGTAATTGTTTTGTAACAATCGTTAACTATAATTTGATTTACCTGTCCTTACTCTCTAACTCTACTGTCCTTAGGTCTCCCTTCCCTCGCTGGGTTGGTCAGATGCGTTTCGGCATTTCACCACCTTCCAAGTCTGTCCTCAGGAGGAAATTTCACGAAACGTAAACTGTTTTTACATACATCACTTGTGCCATTTTTTAATTTAATTTAAAAAAATGTTTTACTATTCCTTGATTCATATTCCTCCTTAGAAAGAAATAACTCCTTAATTATTTTTTACAGTCTATTGGACCAGACGTTCAAACGAATGGTCGAGAAAATATGTATAGGTATTCAATTATTCCGAATCGCTTTGCTGAAATCCATGTGAATAATTCAGTCCTTATAATTTTCCGGCACTCGTGTGAAACCCTTCTTTTTATTATTTTCGTTCTCTCTCACACATTCTCAATAGCAAGGCTATTCCGGAGATTTTAAGATGAAGAGATATTTTCACTTTCGAGCACGCGATGCCGTTGTCAAAAAAGTTTAGGAACACACACGGTCGAATTCCTTATGCCCCTAAGACGGCACCGCACCGGATGAAAAACATGGGTGACAGATAACGTCAGAGCAAGAATCTGGTCCCAACGAGTCGGTCGATCCGACACCTAATCTACGCGAGCATAAGTTCCCCTGTCCCAGATCCTGATTAACAATCAGTTTCCTCCTAAATTTACTCGCACCTACTTTATATTAGTCGTTCACGCCTTATTTTACCATTAGTTATGTCGTGTACATTATGGTTAACGGTGCTTAGTCTTAACACGACCAGTGCGTCTAGTTGTTTTACAATTGTAAATCGTTCTAACTGCCTAAAAATCGTATGTAGCCACATGTGGATTAAAAAGAAACAAAAACAAATCTTTTTATACCTTCTTTTAATTGCATCAAGGTTTGTTAAATAAGGGATAATTTTTCTATCCTAGATTTTTGGGTATGCAGACGAGTCTTCTCGCCCATAATTGTGGGCCACTGTAATTCTTTTCGAGCCCTTCCTAGTTTGCAAGCAAACAAAACTCTGACATGCCAAAACAATGAGAACAGGTAGGTCAAAATGATAGAAAGGATAAATCTGTAGGGTTATCGCCCAGAGACCCATAGGAAGTATAATTTAAAAAAATGCAACAAAATTAAATTACAACTACAAAACAGCTTTAATCGTTTTTATAAACATTTTGATTTTGTTGTCAAAGAAACAGTTATAAAACATTCAAAACACATGACAGAATTAACAGAATTAAATGAATAAATTCTTTTTTCTTTCTCGTGTCTTATCTATATATGTAATTCTTTTTTTATGCTGACGTCAATCTATAATAATTTCAATTACATTTTGGGTGATAATTTAACCGACTCTCTTGCTTCCTTATCTTTTTGCCAGCGATGTAATTTTATTCAACTAAATTTGAACTTGAAAGTTCAACGAGCAATTAGTTTATTGCAATTCGGTCATCAACAGTAATTTTAGTCTGCCTATCCTCGCTGTTGGCCTGTAAGACGTGTTTTGGTATTTCTCTATTTTACATAAACCGGTAATACCAAAAATAATTGGTAACGAACAAATTATAACTCCTTTTAAAAGACTAAAAACAGACCTGGCTTGATGTTACACGATACAAATTTATAAGTTGTGTATTGAAATTTCATGTTTCTTCATCACAGAAGGAAATCTCACGAATTAATTTATTTCTACTTATATTTCCACTCCTTTTCCTTCACTCCTGTAGTAGTCAATAAGCTATGTAAATCAGTGTGTCTGAAAACTTTATGATTAATAATATTTTGTTCTCCATATTTGTTTTTAAGTTCACGTTTTTAAAATACTGATTTATGCTTGTACTAAAAATAATCAAATTACTTGCAGAGGGAAATGAAGGTTTATTTGCGTTCTGCTTTGGATTGTGCTGTCAGGTTAGAAAAACAAAATCTAGTCACATACTTACCACTGAGTATGGCAAAATGCCGAAACGTATGTGGCAGACCAAAAACAGCAAAGATAGGCAGGTCATGATGATCGGAAACGTCTAAACTGTTGGTTCTCACAATTTCAACTGATGTATCTCGTCGAGAATTAGCCCGTTTGACAGGGACGTTTTACGACCAACAATTTTATTGTTGCTTGTTTTATTATATATCACCCCTCCCGTATTGATCGAAAAGTGAAATATGGTTGCCCTCTGAATCGCAGAACACGAACACGATGTTCTTCGAATTCCATCTGTCGATAAATCATACGTGAGAAAAAGTAGACTTTTTATATTATGGATGGGTAATAACATCAAGGTATTTAAATAATATAAACAGCCATAAACCACAACTATATATTGTTTAAGGTCTAATTCGTGTGTTAATTAACTAAGTAAGTTTATTTTTGTTTTCCTTACAAAATTAGAAATCTTCTTTTAAAACTTTAGAAACTGTTTGTCGTAATAAGATGATAAGAATATCAGCTTCATATTTAAAAACAGGAATTAGCACAATTAAAATAGTAAAACCGTAATTTATTTAGTACCATTATTAAAATTTACCGAGGTAAGGTAATTTTTTTGGTGTTCTGTAAAATGGTTTCAGATCATTCCGCTAAGCTGGGCTGGAAGATACAGATTTTTTAAAACTGATTGCAAAGACATCGTCGAATGAATAATACGAACGAATAGGGATAAATAAACAGATGACAAATCTCGTTGATAATTTTTTAAATATATTTTTTATTGATACTTTTAAATTCAATTATTTATCGTGTATTGGGAAAATTGTCCTAAAAATTAAATATTATGTATTTAAGAATGACCTTTGAGTACAGAGGGAAAACTTTTATTAATGTTCTCGTTATTTAAATGTTAAATACAAAAAGAGAGATAGGTTTTATTTTCATACGAGGATAGTAAAACTTCAGTGGTGGTAAATTACTAGACACAAGTGTTTTTTTTTTCAACGGGCGTTTCAATTTTTTAAATCAATATAGGAATACTTTGTGAAAATCACAAGTAATTAAAAACTCCATAAAAGTAATTGAAAAAGTACCTAGGGTTGATTGAAAGTAATTCCAAAAAACAACATTTTCATAGTGTGTATTTCTATAAAACAATCTACATATTGTAAAAAGCAAATATTGCCTTTAGAAAATAGTCATACATCTTTTTAGTTAATGTTTAAAATCAGTAATCGCGATAGTATTCTTGGGGGATCTACAATATTTTATAAATATAATTAGTGTAGGAAAAAGAAAACAGTTGGACTATTAAAATCAATACATCAATAGGGCAAGCATGTCCGTAGATGAACATAATATGGTAACTTTTGTATTTACTTTTAAATTTCTATTTACAAATGATTGGTTATGTACATTTTTGAAAATTTCAATTAGATTTTTTTTATAATGCTATCAACAATATTATATACAATATAAGAAATGTTTTAAATACAGCCTTTGATCAAGGTTTGAGCTTAAAAGGCAAATAAAATATTATCAATTAAATCAGGAAATTAGTAAGCAGGTAAATTGCACTTTGAACACAAACAATATCACTACACGATGTCAATTGACAAAAGAAGTGTGTAAAAATTCATCGTTTACAAGAAGAATATTGCTTGGATTCATTTTTCTTAATGGCCTCCTTAACTTATAGTACGCCTAAAATCACAATGCGCACGTAAAAATAATCATAATAAAATTAAGCTGATATCTCTTAATTGGATTAGACATTTATCCGAATAAGGTCGAGAAAAAAGAGGATGAAAGTGACGTTAAACTTTATGGGTCTGATTGAGTCCGAGGATCTCGGGATGCCTACACCTGGAATCTTTACGAGCAGCGATAAATTCTTCGACATTGGCTGATTCCAAGATGTTATCATTGACGGACGTTTTCGTACAGAGAATTTGACAACTGCACGAAGTCATCTGTTGAAATAATTTGGCAAATTGTGGGAAAACAAAATTTATGAACTTGAGAGAGAAAAATGACCTTTCAACGTACCTATCTTATTTGATGTAGAATGCATACTGTTAAATTGATTCTAAAAAAAACTGAATGTGACATTTAATCAAACTATCGCGTTGAACCTATTAAAAATAAATTTGATTAAAATTAAATAAACATTTGATGGTAACAAACTAGCAAAATTATTTTGCGCATTTGTTTTTTATCCGGTGTATAATGTTTTTGTACTCTAAAAATAATATTTACGTTCTATTCTAAATTAAAAATCTGTTCATTATATAAAAATTTCATAGTAAGTTTACTTTTATATAATGCATTATTTATTATTACATTATTACAACTCGACGTGAATTTAAAGTTTTTTAACGTGCTTGTAACGTAAATAGTGCATTTAATAGTCTGACCAATGACAAAAATAAATGTGTCGATCTGCTAGTAACATGAGAGACTAGATACGGGCTGAGAAAAGTTAGTGTTGAGCAGAATTAGCTCACCATCCGATCTCACCCGTTTCATCCCTCCATTACATTTCAAAGACTACCGGTACTTATTTCTTAATTGTCATCTCGATTTCGATAGAACTTGATGTTTTTATCGTCTTTCATCTTCTTTTTCATCTTCCATTCACAGATTTTATCTTTGTACTTTTATCTTTGAAATCCATTCGGTTCATTCGAAATATCAGCTTAAAAATCAAATCGTAATTAAATTCATACATTTAACTGGTGGAACATTTTGAGACTCTATAACATCAATAACATTGAAAAAATTAATACTTAAACATCTAATCTTATGCACGCGAGAAGTGCACTAATTTGGCCCTAGCTCAGACGAATGTCTCTTTGGTTGTTGAAGTTAGGAATCTAAGCGAAGGATCTCTCGGCCGAATACATTTTCACTAGCAGACTCGCCGTGTGTGAGACCGAGCGGAAGTTTTTCAGACTTAAAATGAAAGGTATTACCACAGCCTATTTCGCTTTTTGAGCTCGTTTAAAAAGCCTTGACTAGTGAGCTTGATGTAACAACTGCTCGTAGTTCTGGTACGCCTGGTGGTATGGCATCATGCCGACATCACTCTTGAGGCCGTCCGTCCTCTTGAGACTCTGGTAGGAAAATTGCTTCAAATCCGGCATGTCGAGGCTGGACGACGAGCTCAAGAGACTGCTTACATCACTCGACATCAGCATGTCGCTGTAACATATAATACAAGGTTTATTAATCCAGATGTTTAATTTAATTTAACATTTTGAACGCTGATTTAATAATAAATACAGAGTAGTATGGTTGAGATGTACACTTAATATCACAATTGATTTTTCATGTATGTATAATGTATATAACGATAAAAATACATATAGTTTGCAATAAAAACAAAATATGTCCAGTGTCCTGTTTTTCGTCTTTGAGTGTATAATCCCGGTTGTCTATGTATGGATTTTATTAACAGCACATAATATATATTTAATTTATTTTAATCTCATGTTGCTAACGGTGTTGATACGTGTTTTGAATACTCTTGCAAAATATCTTTGAAATCTGATAAACCTCATAACAACCTCATAACACAGTTTTGTTTTTTCTTATAGATAAACTTTAGAATTGAATTAGCTTAGATTTTTCCCATTAGGGAATTAATAACTTATCTAAGCTATAATTCATTAAGATTTATTTTTTAAACTGGGGATTCTTTGAATAATATTTGTTTAAAAAAGGAAAGGAAAATCATTTTAATCAATTTTTATCGTGTTTTAGTAAAAAAAGTCCAAGCTTAGTCTCAAATTTAAATTCATGTCGAGAAATTTTAGACACTTCACATTCTCCAGATTTTTGTCACAAAATTAAACGAACGTACTTATTGCGGAACTGTTGAAAAGGTAATTTATTATAGAAACCAAGTGCAGTTTAAAATCAATAAGCCAATAAACGGCTTGATAATTTCCCAACAATTTTAATTTAGAAACATACTATTTGAACAGTCGAGTCGTTTCCCAGTCAATTAATTCAAGCTATTTCGTTGTAAATACATAATCCATTAATTAAAACAAGGATTGCTGTTTAGCTTTAATTATGGTCTATGCCATACGAAATTGGAAGTTTTTAATTACTTGCCCATTTCGCCTATTAATCATTTATGAAAAAGTGGTAATTATAAAGGCTAACCTGCTATCACTTCTTAATTGATATCGCATAATAATTAAATTATTTGTAACTACTTTTGTCACTTGAATTACTATCTGAAAACGCTTTGGGACTGAAACGTTAATTTTCATTTGGATTTTTAAGTTGATTTCGATTTTTTAATTAAACTAATTTTTCTATTTCTATTTCTGAAAAGGATCTCGTAATTTATACATACAACGTTAAGCTTTCAAAAAGATAAAAAGGAAAACATTACAGGGAAAATCTTTGATTAATAAGCTTCCGAAGAAACTATAGATTATAACAGTCGTTTTAGGGTGGTTACTGATGTAAGGGTGTAACCTAACCCACCCTTATTTGGAAAGCAATTAAGTGGGTAATTCTATTTGATTCTCCCTGTATAATTTCTCTTTCCCTCTTCCTACATACACGATAACAAAGCTCTCCCCGTTTATCCTTCGACCTAAACTAAATGATCGTGATTGAGGGCTAGGTGATTTTGACCTTTACCATGTCAAAAATTGTTCACAACTTTAATTTCATCAGTTTCAGTTTCATATATTGCTTTATATTTATATCTGTTCAAGGCTATTAACTGTCTACAAGTCTTCGTGTAATTTTATAACGAGTCCCATTAGAGAATCGGGAAAAATCGATCCTATTAGAAAATTTTGAAGGGCCTACTGCTCTGAAAGAGAAGGCAGCTGTAAATTCACCCAGGTACTCTATATGTGTACATATGGCCGGTCTTAGGGACAAGAAAACAACAAACCAAGGAGCCGACAGATGGATTGTCGATTGCCTACTATGTTTCGGTAAACGTAGCCGACAAAGCGAAGATGCTTCATTTAAAACAAATAATGATAAATCAATAACAACTCGGAAATATTTGGCCATTTTGTATTCAGGTTACCACGTAAATTTCAAAATTCTTTCGAAAACACCCCTGCTACTTACATATGTGCTACCAATTTTTGTGTAACTTTATTACTAATTAATGAATCTATGAACGTTGGTGTATACAAGAAAAAATAAAAATACTTAGAAATAACCTGACTTTTGTTCTTTCTGTTTGATTTTCAATGTATCATCAAAAGGATTAACTATTTGGTTTTTCGTTAAACCTCCACGTATTTTATAGTAGTTTGCCCCTGGCGTTTAATGATTACGTGATGTTTATTACAGTGTGATTTCGCGAATCGGTCCTTCAATAATGACCAATTATGAAGTAACAAGTACTATGATTGTACATTCAATATTTAAGAATTCATGGATCAAAATATCAAATGCTTCAATTTGTTATAATAATCTTTTTTAATGGTTAATCCTTGGATTAGGGAGTGTTATCTTCAACCGCAGTAGTAAATGGTTTCCTAGTTAGGGGCTTGTGCAAAGGGTATAAATAAAATGGGAGGGCCAAGGGGCCACAGCTAATGTTGACCGACCCTACTAAAATAACAACCGAGAAATAGGGTTGACTCCGGAGGTGGCCTCCTCAAAACCACCGGTTGTTTACTTAGTTCCGCCAAACTTTAAGCTAGTGTTGTTCTCTCTTTTAACTACCAGTCATTCAATTTCAAAAATTAAAAATCCATTAAGATTAAGAAAGATTGTTTTTCAATCTCACTTTAAAAAAATGTTTCAGCCATAATGAAAAAAAAACTGATTGAAAAATCAGCAACAACCTATCTTCCGTTACTTCAGTTTTGACTTTGGGTTATTTAATTTTTGATTAGTACATGTATTATAACACAGAGTAGAATCAATGGTAGGGCATGTTAGGTCTCAGGAAATCAAGACATCGTGAAATTAAATAATAAAATATACATAAATTTGAAATGAAGTATATAAGTACACTTTTTTTCCATCGATTTCGATAGAATTCAGTTTCGTCAGTAATATGAAAATGTGACAAAGGAATTTTGACTTTTGTATACTAGATTTTTTCAACTTTTTGACTATTCGTATTAATTATGTTTTAAGTGCATATGATAACAGAGTAGAGTAAATGTTAACTAGATCTAGTTCTGTCGCAGAGTCCAAGACGTTTGTACGAAAATCACCAGACACTCCTGGATTTAAATATTATAGTCACTCATTATGATATATATATATATATATATATATATATATATCATCTTAATTGGAGAAAATAACAAAATTACCCTTTTCTGGGTACCAGGTCACACAGAACAGAGAGGCAACGAAGAGGTCGATAAATTGGCCAAGGAAAGTTCAATGAGGATATGGGATACCTATTGGCCCTGAACCGTTTTAGACCGGCTTACCAAACTGCCAAAAACGCGGATCCAATATACAATGGATTAATACTAAGTCCTCAGCTCAATGGGAATGTAGCCTAGGACAAATGCATGCGCAAAACTTATCAAAGGACCAGAAACTAACAGAAGGACTACTAAAATCTAGGACTAGAATAATAGTTGATCTGCTAACTGGACACTGCAAACTCCGGAGGCATATTTATAGACTCGGAGTGGTAGAATCAAGCCTGTGAAGACATTGCCAAGAAGAAGAAGTAACAGCGGATCTCGCCTTCTGTTGGTGCGAAGTCCTATGTAGATTCCTAATTCTGGGAGAGGAAAAGCCAGGGCTTGAAGGATACATACGGGAGCTATTGAAAAAGCTGTGGGGTCTGGTAAAAAGAAGGAGCTCTAGATTTAAAAAAAAAATGGAGCTGCACAATAGACCATTACTGGCCGCGGTCCACTGGCCGTAAAGAGGCCGGCTCCTTTATAATCTAATCTAATCTAAGATATTATCTTGGTATAAATTACATGGATATATGTTTAATAAATATTTAATATTAATTAAAACTATTTTAAAACAAATAGTAAATACCCTTAGTTTTAATAAATTGACTTTGATATTAGGCAGTTTTGTGGAAGAAATGTTGCCTTTTATCTACGAGGTATGTTGTTAGAAAGCTCTGATGTTGTTAGATTATTTGGCGAAACGACTGCCGTGGCAGTACGGTAGTTGGTTTGCAGACCACCCAACTAAAGTTCAAGCTGTGTCCAGTTTCCCGGTATTATCGAATCGATTTAGTGTCCATTACCTAGTATTGCATTGTCATTCAGTTTAGTTATTTCTGTATTTCTGATGCTAGAGAGAGAGACAGGAATGTAGGTAGGTATTTGAGCATTATTTTATCTTTTCAGGAGGATCTCCTCAATATTAGGCACGTTCCTAGTTGTGTCCATGAGTCGTTAATGACAGATGGCCTTCTTAACTTTTCAACTGTTGACTTTTCTTTTCTCAAGAGGGTTGCATAATCAGCATAATTCCTTATTTAAAAAAATATTCCCTGGGAATTTGTAAATTCACCCGTTTTAGACAATCTCACCTCGTAACAATATGGCATCAAGGGAGCGTTTTCTAGGAAAAGGCTTAACGAATTGTGAATACGCGTTTGATGTGCGTCCATAAACGAGCTGATGACAGCGTTTGTAGGTGAGCGACTACAACTAGAAAAGGTCAACGGCAAGACGATTTCCCGTCGTTGTCTAACAATAGTTGTTTCGATTGGAAGAGGGTGGTACAGAGTTGAATTCTCATTGCGGAGGAGGTGGACGAACTTATGGAACCTGGGTAAACAAGGTCTCATGTGCACAACGACGTCAGCGGTTCTCGCCGCCCTTTCCCACGTCTCAGCTTAACGACGCGCCATCCCTGTCTTTGTCCTTCCAGGGGTCAAAGGGCTTTGATCGTTTGTCTAACAGTAAAATGTTATTTTAATAAAAAGTAGAAATGTAAAAAACAAAATCTTTTTTTCTTCTTGTAATCCGTCAGCCGATATAACTAATGAGGACTGATCATATCAAATCAGTATCATTTATGAGCCAATTCATATATTTATATTATCAATAACTATGGGCTAATGAATTTTATAATAGCATCGGAATTGCGAATTGTGTAAATTTGGAAGCTTTCGTGCGATAAAACACGGCTCCTAACTAAATAAGAACAAACATTTCTTCATAATTTTTGTAACATAATACATCACGGTGATAAATTGCTTAAATACGATTCAA